ACAGTATCATACTGGCATAAAAACAGACAGAAAGATCAATGGAACAGAATAGAGGCCAGAAATTAAGCCACACATGTATGGTCAATTAATTTACAACAAAGGAGCCAAGAATATACACTGGGGAAATGTATTAGGAAAATCCAGTCTTTCCCCCTCCTAGATCTTTCTCTCCTGTATAGGGAAAACCCAGTCCTTCCTCCTGCGTGTCTCATTTACTACTCACACAGAACACTTCACTTCTGGTTACCAAATGTGCGTGGGGTTTTTCTCACACCAAGCAATTCTCTGTGACACCAGCTGGCTGTCCTACAATTCAAATCAATTCTGACAGTACCTGGAGATAGCATTCGATTCCACAGGCGAAGAGCTCAGTCTCATAAGACTGACCCCCCACCCCCCTCTTCAGATGCCAAGTGCAAGTAGCAGGTCCCCAGGTTACCCACAACTTCTGTCCAGTTTGGCTACAAATTGGAGGTTCCCATGACCCCTTCCTCAAGTTTGATTAACATGCTAGAGCAGCTAACAGAATTCAAGAAAACACTTACTTATTAGGTTTACCAGTTTATTAAAGGATATAAAGGACACAGATGAAGAGATACATAGGGCAAGGTCTGGAAGGGTCCTGAGCGCAGGAACTTCTGTCCCCGTGGAGTTGCGGTGCATCATCCTCCCAATGAGGATATGTTCACCCACCTGGAAGCTGTCTAAATCCTATACTATTGGGATTTTATGGAGGCTTCCTCAATAGGCATGATCAATTATTAACTCCATTTCCAGCTCCTCTCCCCTTGCTAGAGAAGTAGGGAGCAAGGCTGAAAAGCCAAGCTTCTAATCAGAGCTTGGTCTTTCTGGTGACCAGCCCCCATCCAGAAGCCACCCATGAGCCCAGCCAGAGTCACCTCATTAGAAAAAAAGATGTTCCTAGTGCTCCTATCACTTAGGAAATGATAAGCGTTTTAGGAGCACTGTGCCAGGAACCAGGGGCAGAGACCAACAGATATATTTTCTATTATCTCACAGGAAAGGATTCTCTCACAGGAATGGACAATAAATAGTGTTGGGAAAACCGGACGGCCACATGAATGAAACTGGACCACTATCTTACACCATGCACAAAAATTAACTTGAAGTGGATTAAAGACTTGAACATAAGACCTGAAACCATAAAATTCCTAGAAGAAAACACATGGGGATAAGCTCCCTGACCGATCTGAGTGATGATTTTTTGAAGTGGACACCAAAAATAAAGGCAACAAAAGCAAAAATAAACAAGTGGGACCACACCAAACTAAAAACCTTCTGCATAGCAAAGGAAACAACAAAATGAAAGGCAACTTACCAAAAGGGAGAAATAGAAGCAAATCATATATCTGATAAGGGGTTAATATCCAAAATACATAAAGAACTCATACAACTCAACAGCAAACAAACAATATGATTAAAAAATGGGCCAAGGATCTGAATAGACATTTTTCCAAAGACATACAGAAGTCTCACAGGTAATGAAAAGATGCTCAACATCACTAATCATCAGCAAAATGCAAATAAAAACCAACTGAGATATCACCTCACACCTCTCAGAAGGGCTATTATCAAAAGACAAGAAATAAGTGTTGGCGAGGACACGGAGAAAATATAGAGCTTATGTTCTAGCTCAGGGGCTTTCAAACTCGACATGCATCAGATCTCCTGGACAGCTGTAAAACAGACTATTAAAACAGTTAATGATTTAGTAAGTCTTGGGTGGGGCCCAAGAACAGGCATTTCTAATGAGTTCCCAAATGATGCTGATGCTGCTGGTTCAGGGACCACAGTTTGAAAACCACTCTTCTAGTGAAAGGAAGACACATAATAGACTGTAACATCATAAATACGGAAAGTGTCGAACATGTTAGAAGACAAGTGCTCTAGAAAAAAGGGAAAGTAGAGCAAGATAAGAGTAGTTGTATACAGAGCTGGTATTATGTTTTATTTAAATAAAATAGCCAATTTCCCCTATAATAGTAATAACGGCTAATTACCCTTACTATTGTCAGGCAGTATTCTAAGGACTTTACATATATTAGCTCAGTGAATCCTCACAAAACTCCTATCAAATACTTTAATTTATCCCCATTTTGCAGGGGAAACAGTTAGGTTAAAATAAGTTGTCCAAGGTCACACTGCTACTAAGACGTGGATCTAAGATTTGAACCCAGGGATTCTGGCTCTAGAATCCTTGCTGTTAAATATTATATTATACTGCCTCTCAATTCACATGATATCATCTTCATAAATGTCATTTTTAATGGCAGGAGAAGAAATATCTTGTCAGGCTAGAACTGACAGACATTATGCTCTCTATTCTATAAGCACCCTTGATGTTCTCATCCACAACCCAAACAAGCCTGCTTCTACTACTATATTTCTTATTTAAGTTCACATTCACTCAACTGACCAAGTGAGAAAATGCAGACACCTCGAATCTGTCTCCCTATTCACCCTATTCATGTCCAATCAGTCTGGTTAATTTGTGCCTCAGACTCACCTCTTGGATTTAGGACTCTCTAGATTCCCATGTTACCCCGACAACTGCCACAAAGGCTCCTAACCTCCTAAATGGTCCCCTGTATTCAGACTCTTGTGCTTCTCTTTCATCCTCTACTCAGCCACCAGCATTCTCCTTCTAAAATAAAACCTGACCATTTTAGTCAGCTGCTTGAAATCCTTTACTGATTCTCTATATCAAGTCCAAATGTCTTAATGTGACACTTCGGTGCCTTCATGACCTGGCTGTGTCTTACTTTCCTCATCTACTGCTGCTCTCCCCCACACAGCTTAAGTTCCAGTCACAGCTGTGAACATTCGATTTCTATTCCTTTGTTGACTCTTTCCACTTCCCCTCTGTCTGGCCAATTCCCATTCAACCCCTTACACTCAGTTCGAAGTTCTCCTTTCTATGAAGCTTCCCCCTTTGCTCCCCCACGCTCAAGTTAGCCTTTTTTTTCACGGTCTCAAAACTATTTTAGGACTCATCACACACTTTGTTGTAAATTTGTCCCCATTTAAGGCAAGAACTCTTGGAACTCCTCACAGCCCAGGATAGTGACTGACACATAACCATTCCCAATAAATGCTTATTGAAAAATGACTGAGTTCAATTACAGCCCCTAACCTAAACGCAAGGGCTGTGTTACACACATTATTCAGTGCCTAATAATTCACGATGGAAATTAAAGCTCTGAAAAGCTTATGCAGTAGTCTCAGAACTAGAAAAAAAGGATTCAGAGATGAGGCCCAGTGTGTTTGCTTAAATTCAATTTATTCAACAAATATTTACTGAGTAGTATGAATAAGGAGACTGAAAGTTGTTGAAATTCTTATCATAACCTGGGAATATGTGTACAGTATATTCACTTACCCATTAAACAACTAGTAGTCTGTTACCAGCAACTTGTGTTAGAGTATTTTGTGCTTGGGTAGAAATTTTCACCTTTTTGACTGTCCTCTTCGTAGGAATGAGAAGGTTAGGTAGATGAAGATAGTGAATTTAACTAATTCAGTTATCTATTTTTCAAAACAGAATGCTCTTTTGCACTATTTAGCCTTACAGAAATGGACACTGCAAAATTTAATTCAGCACCACGCTGAAAAACTGTCTATTTTTCAACCTTCTAAATCTGATCCCATCACTCTCCCGCTCAATACCTTTTAACTGCATCCTGCGGCATTTAGAAAAAGATGCAAATCTTTCACCACAGTCTACAAGGCCCCATGTGACATGGCCCTGCCTACCTCTTTCCAACCTCATCTATTACCACCATCTGCTCATTCCACTCCAAATACACTGGCCTTCTTGCTCTTCTAGAACATACTAAGCTCCTTTCTGCTTAAGGACCCTTGCAGTGCTCTTCTGTCCTCCTGACACTCACTTCTCCCAGAGTTTTGCACGGTTTAGTCCCTTCATTCAAGTCTCTGCCCAAATGCCACCTCCTCAAAGAGGCCTTTCACAGCCACCCTATTTAAAATTTGAGCCTCCCTCCCACCCTGCAACTCTCTATCCCTTTGCCCTGCTTTATCTTCTTGTATTGCCCTTAACACCGTCTCTTAATATTTACATATTATTATCGACTCACTAGAACGGGGATTTTTCTTTTTCATTGTAATTTGCAATATTATCAGCATCTACAACAGTGTCTGGCACACAGCACCCTCTTCCAATAAATATATGTTAAACAAACGTATGAATTTCATTCCCAGCAGAGTCACTGAATTCATATGACCTTGGGTAACTCACAGAGCAAACACTCAAGCTCTGACCCCTAAATGAAAACAATAAAACAAAGTCTTATCTGCCTTGCCGTCAAGATCTATTTGTTCTGAGGCAAAGAACCACAGCAGGTCTTCCTATGAATTTCACTGCAAAACTCTAGCCCCTCCAAGCAAAGCTTGCAGCAACCTGAATTTTGAAATCAAGGGGCAGGAAATAGTCTAAGCAGAAAGTTCATAAGAGGACCAGACCTAAATACTACAATCCTGATTTTAAAGACGAGCCCTCCAAAAATGATATCTACCAACCCCAAAACTTATGACTCTTCTGGGTTCTTAACTCTTTTGGTGCCACAAATCCTTTGCCAGTCCGGTGAAAACTATGGACCTCTCTTGAGAATAATGCTTTTAAACCCATAAAACTAAATACAGAGAGCTACAAAAAAAAAAAAAATTCTACTAAAATAGAGGACCGCAGATGTAAGGTCTCCTATGCTCTTTTTGGCCACAGTGAAAACGAGACGAGAAAATTTTGAAAGCTATAGGAAGATCAAAAGGGAGAGTCCCAAGGAGACGACACCATCCCAGAGCACCCTAAGTGGCAGCAGGGAGTCCTGGACGCCAGGACCCAGCCAACCCTAGGGGGCGTGTCTGAGGATGAAGAGCGGAGAGAAGAGGGCCCGGGTCTGGGACTCTTCCTACCAGAGTGCGCGAGGCCGAGTTCCCCAAGGCTGGGCCCGCCCCCGCATCACCTGTCCCTGCCGTCCCCAGGAGCCGCTCCGGCACCCCTCGCAGGTCTTCATGGAGGCCGCGGAAGATCTCGTGCAGTTTTTCGAAATGTTCCGAGGAGGTGGCGGAGGTGGCCATGGCCCAGGCCACACTCGAGCAGCGGCCGCCGAGACTCTGGGCACCGGGCCCGCACCAACCCCGCGGTCAGCCGCCCAGCCCCGCAGGCATCACGGCGACCGCCGCCACCGCCGCCCTGGACGAGGCGCTTCCGGGGCCGCGGCGGGGTCCTCCCGAGCCGGAACGCCCACTCCCTGCAGTCCGTCACGGAGGGAGCGCCGGGCGCGAAGGCCTGACGGAAAGTCAGGCATGCTGCGCTGCCCAGGCGACTCCTGAAGGAGCAGCACCGCGCGGGGGCGAGCGACAGTCTCAGGGCACCGGAAATACCCAGTCCGGGGTTGGGGAGAGCGCCACAGTGGAAAGCACTGTGGGGACCCGCGGGACGGGCAGCGTGGCCGCCTCTCTCCAGGGCCCCGCGTGCGGACGAGGGGTGGGCGCTGCAGAGCATGCCGGGGGCTGTAGTTCGGCGCGGAAGACGCTCCAACTTGGAGGTCACGCATTCCTGGGGGCGGTGGTGCTGCCTGCGCCGCGGATGCCCTGGGTGACGCTGACAGAAAGTGGTTTGGTATCAGTGCGCTCCTGGATGTTATCTTCATCGTCGTCGCATTGTTTCGCCGCCCTGACTTCGTCAGTTCACGTTGTGACTGTCAGCTTTCAGCCCTGGAAAGATAGCTGCGCCAGGTTCCAGCCTGCCCTGGAGCAGTGAAGCACTTTTACTGGGGAGTTCAAGTGACCAGGATCACGTGCTTTCAGAAGTGGTCCCTGGGCAGTGTGACGTCCCAAATGCGCGCTCGCTCTCTAGCGGCCGGGCTCGCCTAGTGCCTTCGTTCACTCAGCAGGTGTTTGCTAATGTGCAGAGTAGTTACTGTGCAGGGATCTGGGCATATGTGGGTAAGTAAAAGATGCACTGTGCACCCAGGTCATTTATAATGTGGTGAGAAAGGCGGACCCGGCTTCATCAGGTCTCTTTCCCACAAGTTGTAAAGTGTGGACAATTAGAAAGTCCTTACCTGCGCTCCATGAGTTTTCATGGTTGCGTGGCAGGAAATTCCTATTTTTACTGATTTCATGGTTTGCCCATGGAACCGGTTTAGAAATGTTTGCTTGGCAGGCAGCCTAAAACTTAACACTGCCCACATATATTAAAAGATATATGACTGCTCAGGGAGAAATGATTCGGTGATTCGTATCTCCTGGACCCTTATTTTTATTAGACTGAGTTCACTGACTATTGATTCAACAAACTTTTGTTGAGCTTCTAATATTCACTGAGCATAGAGAGATGGCAAAGTCTGAGGTTGTTAATGGCAGTTTTGTGATAGGTCCCATAGCATTGTGTTATAGAAGGGGCAGGTACAAAATGGAGAGAGAAGAAATAGCCTAGGATGGAAAAAGTGATCTTTACAAAGCGTCATAAAAGATAAGTAGAAAATGGATGAATGAATAAGCAAATTACCACACAACTGAAATTAATGTCATTTGAATTGAGACTGTACTGTGGCTGCACTCTGGGACAAATTATCCTCAGAATGAGAAATGACTGCGTAACTGTGATAATGAAAGGTGTTTTCTTCTTTTGACTATAGTTAAACTTTCATTTAATTGTCTTCTGTTGACTCTAATTAAACTTACGTTTAATTCTTTCTTGTAAATAAAAACTATAAATAATCAAAAAATGTTTATTTGTCATTGACAGTTCAATATAAATCAAGTAAAATATTTAGTTATCCTACTGCACTATTATCAAAAGTTTTTCAATTTTTCCATAAAATAACCATTTCTAAATATATCATTTAATGGTCAAAACAAGTTCAACAAAAGATTTACAAATATGCAAAGACTGCGGTCCTTTAACTCTTGTCCCCACCAAAGCGAACATATAATTGTCAGTCCAAGAAAATCACAAACTCTTATTAGAAAAACGTGCCCCCAACAAGTGATGGGAACATTACTAATTCCTCAGACCTTCTTTGGCAGCATTACTTTTGATAAAAGTTCTCCAAATAAAATGTATATTTTTAGCAAATAGATGTTTTAATCTTGTCAAGATAATGTAAAGAAATGCCCTGAAAGATTAGTAAATTGGCTGCAATTACCAATATTAGTCCTTAAGATAATTTTGCTGAATAAAGAATTGGGGTTTTTTGGTTTTGTTTTTGTTGAGGTTCTTTTCTGCCACATTGGTTGGCTGATGCTTGTTAAGACAGTGCCTTGTCAGTCTTGCTAACTCAAGTGCTCACCCTCAATTCTTCTATAGCTGGATATTACCATCTTTAGCTGGGTTTTTTTCTTTTTAATCTTTAACTAGGCCTTTCAATGCATGCATTACCTTCCAGGATTCTTCTCTTTTTTGGACTTCTCTGCTACCCATGTGCTTCTTGGTGGGTTAGTTACCAACAAATACAGAGTCTGCTTCCCTTTGCAGCTCTACCCATTTGCATCAAAGACTAGATAACACTGGTTTGCTCCATTGCTATCATTTACCTGTACTAGGGTCCAGTTTAATACTGTTCCCTTGTGGCTGTTTTGAATTTCGTAAAAATACCTCCAACTGCATAAATACACAAGAACACATACAAAGGTATATTCGGTGACAATCACAAATAGCCTTTTCCTTCTTCTGGTTTCCTAAGAGAAACTACAGCACGAAAAGGAGGCCTCCATGGCTCTGGGGTCAGTAACTGAAGTCAGGTGGCCTATCTTCCCATACTGCTCCTTTTGTTACCCCCTTGCTGGCCTGAGGAACAGCAGGAAAATGACAATTTAAATAGATTTTTATTGCTGCCTTCCCCTAAACCCCACAAACTTCTTAGAAAAGGTAGCTCTTCTGTGGTCTAGGTAGGGGAGTGTGTTAACAGCAGTGCCTTTAGGTTGCCAGAGATAAAGCCATGCCACAATCCAGATTCAATTAATAGTTTCCTGAAAGAATCCAGATGTTGGCAACATGATGGTTTTCTTAAGAGGTGAGGGACAAGTCCTCCTCTTGAGCCAAGCCACTGTGACTCCTGGAGTGGAGCTGAGGCTGCAGTGTGACTCTCTTGAAGTGAGGGTTGGTTGGTTAGGAGAAACTACATTGAGAACAAAGAGGGTAGAAACTAGTCTAAATTGCCATAAAGCAACCCTGCCATAGCTTAGGTTCTCCTAGGTAGTAGGTTTCAGAAGGAAAATATGAGCTTGCAGGACATATGAGGTTCTGCTTATCCTGTGAGAGCTCTAGTAACTCTGGCAGTAACAGGAGCAAAGTAAATCTGGACAAATGCCAGGAGTTTAGATTAATCTGGCAGGGTACACTGGGCTTTCATGAGACATCAAGCAGCAAAGGTTGCAAGGTTTGCTCTCTTCGTGCTCAAGGTTTTGGCCATCCTGAAGGAGAATCATTTTGGCAAGGAGTACTGAGTAGTCTGCTGCACGCTTCTCTTGGGTCCAACTGCCACCACCTGTCAATCCACAGGGATGCCCAGCAGGTCACAGCTGACGTCCCATAGCCGCCTTGCTATTGTCTCATTACGAGCCTTGGCAGACACCCATGCCACATGGCAGTCACTGGAAGGGAAAGAGAGAGGCTTAATGCACAGGGTTAAGAATGGAGTCTGCTCTCTACCTGGGATAAGGAATATGACAGAAAAACAACCCAGGGATGACATGTCCTTTAGGCGCTTCACAGGGCCAGTGTTTGTGCTATCTCTTTGTTCTCCAATCTTTACTCCAGAGAAAATGTAATTACCCTTCTAGATCTCACTAGACCACCTCTGATCAGAGTGCTTTGTTTGATGTATAATCCTTATCACTTAGTCTTTATATTCCCCTTTGTAGCTATGGATTTAACTGTAATATCAGTGCCCACCTGACTCCTGTGTATGTCCATCTTGTTTAAATAGGGCTCTGAGGTCGATTCTACGGGACCTTGTATAGTGTCATGCGGCTGAGATCCTGCTATTTACATTGGTCACAGACGCTTGGAGTGGTTTAAAAAAATACTACTTATTTCTGGTCTATAACTGTTTTTAAACTCAAATAACACATACAGCCAGCTTCATAAACAATGAAAGAAGGAAAAGATGATAGCAGAGAAGAAATGGTAATGACAAGGTGCCAGGTGTTTCATGCACCTTCTCTTCATTGCTGCAATTCTATTTTTAGTCCCCATTACATGCAGGAGAGGGATTCCAACCCTGCGCTGCACAGAACACTTTCTCAAGGATAATTCTTTCACTCATTTTTGTACTGTCTGCATTTGGTACACAGCAGGTATTCAATTAAGGGCTTTTAAAAAAAATGATTGAGTAAATGGATCACAATATTTGAAATCGTGTGAGAAGCAGTTTTAAAAAGTATACTATTTTAAGAAAATTTCTTCCTAGACATTCTAAGCAAATTCTGAAGGTGAAAAGGAGAGTTGACAAGTCTGAAATAACCATGTGAAGCAAACTCTTAATACTATGGCAATTAAGACAGCGCTACTCAAAGTGTGGGCTGTGGACCAGCAGCAGGAGCATCATCTGGGAACTTGTTAGAAATGCCAATTCTCAGGCTCTACCCTAGACCCGCTGATTCAGAATCTCTGGGGTTGGGGCCCAGGAATCTATTTTCAATCAATTTTCCAAACTGTTCTTAAACATATGAAAGTTTTAGAAAAACCACTTAAAGATTTTTTTTTTTTAAAGATTGGCACCTGAGCTAACAACTGTTGCCAATCTTCTTTTTTTTCCCTGCTTTTTCTCCCCAAATCCCCCAAGTACATAGTTGTATATTTTATTTGTGAGTCCTTCTAGTTGTGGCATGTGGGATGCTGCCTCAGCATGGCCTGACGAGTGATGCCATGTCCACGCCCAGGATCCAAACGGGCGAAACCCTAGGCCGCCGAAGCAGAGCGCATGAGCTTATTAACCACTCGGCCACGGGGCCGGCCCTAAAGATATTTTTGCATTTAAAAAACAAGCCTTGTAAGTTAAGTACTTCTATTTAAGGCAACTCACCAGCACAACCAGCACAACCTGCCATTTCTGAGTGAAAAGACCATCACTGAGAACCAAAAGACTCTGTACAACTCTCTGGAAATGATTTGGCCTCTGTAAGCTTCTGCAGCCTCCATTGCACTATGCCTTATACTCTTGGTAGGTTTATGGTGAGGAACAAATGACACAATGGACATGAAAGCGCCTTGT